GTTAAAACTAAATATATTTTCAAAACAAGAATGTCCTTTTTTTCTGTGTGGATCTATAAAATTTCTTGTTACATTAATTTCTTTGCTTGCCACTAGGCAGTGAGCCACTCTTAACTTAACTCGTAGTCAATATTTGCCATGAAATGTATATAAAGAACTAGTATTAATATCAAATCCAAAGTATATTTTTTCTCTCTTACAACCAGTAGTGCTACAAAGAGAACGCTAGCTCTCTGATTGTGTGTGAGCTGCATCCTCTTCTTGCATCACTGTTTATCAGTTTAATTTCTAACGAATTAAATTTAAAATAATTTACTCAATAATGGATTGAATTTATCCAATAATCTTGTTGAAATTCAGAATATTAAATAGACTTTTGAGATTAGATGGAAAAAAATTTTAGACGACTTGGTGCTGGCGAGTTTAGTATTATTAACCAAAAAATTTGGTAAATTTAACAGGAAGAAATTAATCAGATTCATCTGGTACTTCCTACAAGAATTCTGGTCCAGAAAAAAAAGAACATTCTTGTTTTGAAAATTTATTTAGCGATTTTATTTAAATCGAAATTATATATTTATTTAAAATTTTTTTAACGTGGAAATCTTGAAATGAGATTTCATTACGTTAATTAAAGAAAAATATAATTTCTTGAATAATTGCTCACTTGAATGAAGCCATTTTATACAGTTCAATCGAGAAAAATATATTCTTACGATTTAAGATTTAATTTTCTTGAATGGAACAGAAACAATGTTAGATAAAAAATAACATTTTTAAATCAAAGATTATAATTTTCTTAAAGTAGAATTAAATAATTATATATTCTTGAGGTGACAATTACAATATTAAAATAAGACTATAAAATTGTTGAGATTTAAAATTATTAAATTCTTCTAATAAGATTATAAATTGTTGCGTATATACGAAACAATGAACGTTAATTTAAGTATATAAGTTTTGATTTGACACTTTTTTTTCTGTACATTTTCCAACAGATATACTGGTTGAATCCCCTATAATTCTAATTAATGCAACCAGATTTTTTTCTCAGTGTATACGAAGGAGTAGTTTGTAGATCGCGAGGATGAAATGTTGGCTTTTAATAGACTATTTTAATGATAACGCGTGTCTGTAAAGTTGCGCCGGCAAATGTATCCCCGATCGGCAGAAAGAGAACGCGAGATTCAGTAATGATGAAAAGCATCGCTGCACCCCGTTGTCTTCGCAACATGTAATTTCGTGGGCCGTGCAAACGTCGAAACTTTCGCGGACCTACGAGGGAGATATATGACCGAGTGTACCCTCGTCACTTGAAAAATCGAGCGGCCCCGAGTCGGTCCGAGAGAGAAGGAGAGATATTTGGCCCCTTCGGGCCAAAACGAGGTAGTCTTGCATTCGTCGTAATAGGCAACTCGGGCGCCAAGGTGTTATTAAACGCGGCAGAGAAGCCGCGCAACAATTAAAAAATTACTCTCCACACGTGGGAACGCACGAGAATGAGCCTTCGAGGTCTCTCCTTCGCCGAGAGTTCCTGAAAGGGACATTTTGCATTCGTCTTGTCGAGTTGAGAGAAAAGCAAATGCAAGAATTGACGTTACTTTGCGCGATATACGTAATTCATATCGAACTGTATTATTTTATAGAGAGGAAAGAGCGAGCAAGGCAGCCTCTACGAGAGCCTTTTTCGCGATCGGATCTTTGCACGTGTCAATAGCGCCGGTCAATTTCTGCGATAATTAGACGCGATACGCGAGAATGCACGGCCGTCATATCCTCGCGAGGGTCGACCTAATTAGCTATCGATCCTTTAGATAGATACCCTCGGCCATAAAGTAGCATGCCTTCTATAATTGTACAAGATACCCCTTGGATAAAAGCCCGGTGTGTATAGGTCTAGCGTCTCAATTATCGATCGCAGCGATACGTCTATCATCGACAACTCTGCGCTTTATTACAGATATCGTCCAACGAGTCCATTTCTTCATCGAAACCAACTTTTGTAATCGCGTTATCGAGCGATCCATTGTTATCGTAGATGAAGGTAAACGTTTCGATGAATCTACGCGCACAGATATATTTGCTAATGTAAGCTCTAGTCGATGTATCGCTTCGACCCAACAAGAAATTGTCTAAGGATCCTCTCGCAAAGTCCTTCGAAAAAGAGAAAAGTGTGGTAAAAAAATTATCCTCCCACGCGAGTTATATACAGGGTGTTTCTTAATAAGTGGGAAACATTTTAGGAGATGATTCTTTGTGGAAAATTAAGGGGGGTTTTTTATATAAACATATACTCCCTTCCTGTAGAGTGACACTCCTCCAAATTGGGGATAAAAATTAGGTTCCTATTTTTTTTCTCAAATTTGGAATAAGCTAAAAAAATGGAATTAGGTGGATATTCTTTACTAATAAAAAGATTATTTATTAATATTTTTTCCAGCCTCCCGTATTGTTATAAGGGGATAAAACTAACAATCCCTACTCAATTTTTTATTAGAACTTTTTAATAGACCGGAGTATGATCATCTAAAAATATGCATTAAAAAGTTTGATTTATTTAGAAACTTTTTTATTTCTTTTATTTTTGTCATAAAATCAATAGTTTTCAAGAAAAAAAATAAAATACGTTATCGTGCACAGCATAGGTTTACGAGAAGTTAAATTTTAAAATAAAAATAAAATTAGAGCAAATGTTGGAAAAAATGGGACAAAAATAAAATTATAATAAAAACCTAAAAACTTCATTTTTACCCCCACTTTTGGAGGAGTGTAACTCCACAGGAAGGGATGTAGGAATATATATTTATATGAAAACCCCCCCTTAATTTTCGACAGAGAATCATCTCTTCAAATTTTTCACACTTATTAAGAAACACCCTTTATATTAGGGAGCCGTAAAATTTCAGAGATAAAATCGTGACTCCAGGTGGAACCGCCCAACTAAAATCTGAGCCTCAGTTTAGGCGATGCGATGCGATTTTTTGATATCCTGCGCTCGGCTATTCTTCAGTCAGACACGAGAGATTCATGGCGCGAATTCTCGCGGGAACTAGAAATCGACAGAGGCAGAGCCCGAACATGATCCACGGCACATTGTGTAGGGTAAGAGGCTAATAAGCGGCGGGGCAGAGACGATAATCGGGGGATTCACACGCGGAGTTTCCGCATCGGCGGCGCCGCAGCCGCGCGCGGATGCCTTTCGCGGCCGAAAGGAAAATGGCAGGCAGATCAGATAGGCTCGCAGCCGTTTAGCATGCAACGATGCATTCATATCGATCGACGCATGCATATGCAACACCTCGCCTCGCCGCGCGTTACCGGGATAGGATGCGTTTCTCGCGCGCGTGCAACGGGAGGAAGGAGAGAGAAGTCGACGAGACGCATATATTTTGCGCACGTAGGCATGCGTTACGAAGCGGCCCGTTAATTACCGTCACCCGTCCACCAAAAATTAAGGGACGCGATAACGTCGATCATCCCGTCCTGGTTTTTTCGTTCACGTGGTGAACGAAAGCGGGGCGAAAATCAGAGATTCGAATCTGAGAGGACAGAATTTACTTATTTCGTTCCTCTGATAATTTATATCCTCTCGAAAGAATGTTTTGCTGATGTAGGTAGATCTTCCTAGGTGTCGACAACAAAAATTTATCGCTATTTCTTTTTGTATCTGTTAGAATTTTTTTTACCACATAGAATTTTGTTTGACGTGTATTATTTATAGCAGCAAATTTCAGTAATACTTTCCGGCAAATTTAGATCCTACTGCTGAATGTAATATTTATTTATGACAAGATGATTAGTCTTAAAATATGAATATATGCAAGAAACTTTCTTTTTAAATTTCATTAATGATTCAGATTTCTTTAGATAATCTTATCTGTTTTTGTAGATAAATTTAGATCGATTGCAAAACATATCAATATTTGCTAATCATTTGTCTATCTGAATTAATTTCTCGCGCCTAGAAAAATGCTACTATTGCTAGTTGCAAGGCTATTTTTTTTAATGCAAATAGATATAGATTCAAAATATAGAATGTGAGAGATATTGTGAGAGACGGAATAAAATCTTTCTAGAAAAAAATGTAAATTCCACTTCAAAAAGCCTTCGTCCGGAACAAAATGGTGATTGAAAAGTTCGTTTCAAAGTCTCGATCGAAATATTGATATTAATATTAATAATGTAAATAGCATATCCTCACTCTGAATAAAAATCTAAATATATTTGAGTAAAAGTTTGGACAGAATAAAATATTTCATAAAACTATTTTTTTCCATTCTCTTTGAAGTAAATATCGAAATTTTATAAGTTATGTTTTTTATTTTCTCAAATCAATAGTGTGTTTTACATGAGAATTTTAATTAATTTCTTAATTATCTTTTTTCAATTTTGCAGCTAAATTAAAAATTATTTTAATGCGGAAACTAGTCTAGATCTTTTTCGATTTTACATTCATATGCATTTCTTTAATCGAGTATCGCTTGTAAAAAATTGTAAATATTATTAAATCAAAGATTCGCGGAATTTTTTTGGAACAATGTTCTTCACGAAAATGAAACCGAAAACGTAAAGCAAAGATTCTGTATACTTTTTTTTAAATATTACTAGACGAAATATTACCTGAGTTTTGTTCAACGTGAACACTTATATCTTTATGCAAATGTTTCCACTTTTCAAAAAATTGGAAATTGCAATATCACAATCTTTACAGGATGAAGAAAATTAGAGAGATTAATAATTAGAGGTACGAGATTGAAAACAACGTGGATGTAACATGCGTAAAATGAAAGGTTTCCGCGCAACTAGCGAATTAGCAACCTTAGAAAACCCCGTTATTTCTCTCTCGAATTTTTTACAATGTAACGTTTATATGTAGCAGTAACAATAGCCATAGTGGTGCTTACTTGGAAGTTGCCATGCGCGTAACCAGATAGCCATCCTGCGATCAACGCTCCACGATCCACGTTTGCCTCGGCAAAGGAAGCATCATGTACACTTACCGGCTGCAACAGAATAACAAAAGGACAAGCTTCGAGCAATCGGTTATGAAAGACAATCAACTTATTACGCGCTAACGATTTTAAACCGTAATAATTCTATAATCCCCCTCTACAGTGGAACAATTTGAGATACTTGCACTCGGAGATGTTTTTTTTTAAAGAAATTATTCACTTTTTAGAATGACATTACCCATACAGCGCGAAACATTGCAACAATATTGCGGAAATATTGCAATATTGTTGCAATAACATTGCAACATTGTAACAATATTGCAATATTGTTGCAACAACATTGTAACATTATAATAATATTGCGGCAATATTGCAATACTGTTGCAACAATATTGCAACATTTCAGCAATATTGTAATATTGTTGCCACAACATTGTAACATTATAACAATATTGCAATATTGTTGCAATAACATTGTAACATTATAACAATATTGCAATATTGTTGCAACAACATTGTAACATTACAGCAATATTGCGACAATATTGCAATATCGTTGCAACAACATTGCAATATTGCAGCAATATTGCTGCAATGTTCTGTGCTATAATATATAGGCAATATAAGAGACGTAATTTGAATGGATCTTCCCACATAGATGTGAAATAAAATTCATTAATTACTTCGCGCACACTCTATAATTATTATATTGCTCCATGTTACAAAAATTCTACATTTTTCATGAAAGTTCGCGTTTCTCTTAAAGATCGTAGTGCGGTAAAAAGATGATTCAACAGCTCATCGTTCCGATCAATCGAGATCTCGCGGTCGTGATGAACCGGAACGATGCGTCATTAAATTTTTTAATCGCATTGTATAAACCCCATAACTTTCTATATGTCTTCACCGCGAGATGTGGCGCGTGTATTATTATCGCGATAACTTTATTACGTCTAGGAAACTGGATTTTTGTAAAGGAGGGACTTTGGAGAGAGAATATCAGTAGGGAAAGCTCGAGCGCGAGTAGAACAAAGCGACGTTGAGCGGTCCAGTGGATCTGACATAACGACTACTCAACTAACGGCTCTCAACTAACATCTACTTATAACGTAAAGATCGGAACCAGGCAAATCCATTTCTCTCGGCAATTGTTATTTATCATTTAGTGAATGAAGGGATATTTCCAACAATTGATGTCTGTAAAATCGCTATTGTATTTTATCATTTTATTGTATTAATATCATTGCGAGTTTCGAATTTATATTTTTTCTTGTTTTTCATGCACTAATCGTCGGTAATGTTCCTAAAATATTGTACAAGACAATATAAAATATTTGCAAAAATATTTGCATAAATATTTTATTAGTAAAATTTAAAAATTTATGAAAATTTAAATCTTCGGTTAAGGTAAAATTCCGGCACAATTGAAGAACAAGATTTGTATTAGGATTTCGCGAAATATCAAGATTAGAGAGAGAGAGAGAGAGAGAGAGAGAGAGAGTCTTGATATTTTGTCTTGTCTCAAAATTTAAGATAAATATTTAATTAATTATTAAGACAATTCTAAGATTATCAAGATTATTAATTTTTAAAAAAAAGGCTACAAAGTTTCTTGAATCTTTCTAACAAAAATTTTAATTTTCTTATCTTATATTGTCTTGTCTTTTATTAATAATTTTTATTTAATGTAGAACGATTATTTAAAATAATATTTAACATAATCTTTATAATATAATTCAAGATAATTATTATTACTTATATCATTTATTTACTTCTGAATTACTCTATATATCAAATATACATACAATTTTTTTCTCATCTCTCTTTACAAACATACATATTTTAGGTTCTTTTAAAAACCAATAATCTTGCCAATCCAATCTTAGTCTTGATTATTAATTAAAAGTCTCGTCTCGAATTTCGAGACGAATGTTGTACCAAAATTTTATTTCAAAAGTTGGCAACGCCGGTGCCAACATCGGACAAAGGGGTGGCTCGCGCACGTGTCGTGCAAGGGTGGTGTATGTGTAGGCGAGTACGTACGCGTAGAGAGAAGGATAGAAAAAGAGAGAGCGAGAGAGACGCGGCGCGATGCGCCCGGTAAGAGGAAGACGTGATCGATGCCCGTGGGATGCAAGGGCGTTCCTGGTGCGGGAGGCGCCCGAGACAAATGGACGTCGCGCGTCTACCAACCACGCCTTCCCACGGGATAAGAAACTCCGTTTTGCGTGTATGTACTCTCTCCGTCTCTTCCTGTTTCTCTCCCTTCGCCCCTCTCTCTCTCTCTCTCTCTCTCTCTCTCGGATTCTCCTTGACGAACGTCTTCAACGAGGTTTCGCGGCCGGTCGGTCGAGCACTCTAACTCGCCTTGCGGTGATGACCGACGGATCAGGAGGAGGAAAAGGACGAGAACAAAGAGAGAGAGAGAGAGAGAGAGAGAGATTTTCCTTTGAGAGCGTCTCCGACTCTATTCCGCTTTACGCGTCTTGACGTACTTGGCGTCGTATCTCGACATCGAGAATCAAGCTGAGGATCAGATAAGTCGCCGATTGTGTTCCGGTAATTAATGTCAATCATACGGTGAATGAAAGGATCGCTCTCTTGAACTTGATAATAATGATTTGCTCGAGGAATGTGCACGCTGCATTGCTTTGAATAATATATCGCGTAAGCGCGAGCGATAGTAATATATCAAATAATAAACCGGATATTTTATTTTTTAATTGAGTATACATAATGCTATTTGAAACATTTAACAGATGAAATCAGAAATAAATCCCTCAAATATATCCAATACAACAAAGAACATTGTTGTAACATTGCAGCAATATTACAATGTTGCTGCAATATTACTGCAATGTTACAACAATGTTCTGTGCTGTATGGATATGTTTATTATTGAAGATTTTTTTTAATTAATAATCTTTTGACAAGACCAATAATCTCGACAATCTTGATCTTGATATGATATTGATGATTAATTAAAAATCTCATCTTGATTAAGAATGTATTGGATGGACCGTCTGTCTCAAAAGTTAATCCAAAGTATCAAAAAATTAAAGTTGGGCAGAATATGAATTAAAAATTCACGGCGATCTCATTGATTGTAAGATATCTCCAATACATTCTTAATAATTCTTAATTTATAATAAATATAAATATAAATTATACATATAAATACTTGCTTTTTTGTATAGAAGAAAAAATCTTACTAAAACATTATAAAATCCAAATATCTTAGATTGTTTTGTTTTAGATTTCTATATTTTGTAATTTTATTATTTTTATATTATATTAAATGTGAAAATTTAAAATTTATAAAATTATGAGTTTCTGTTATATAATATTATTTTAGTATTATATTATCATATAATTAGTCTATAAGAAATCTATCATACATTTATATTATGATCATATATGCTTTCTGAGGTTATTATCCCCACTTTATACACGAAGAAATAAGTTAGCTTTGCTATCTACCAGTAGAATTTCATAATATTCTCTATTCTTTCTCTTTCATTACAAAATGAAATTTTTATCATTGTTTATTTTATAGTTTGTGAATAATTTATTACCTGTCTCTTGAACGTTTACATAAGATCCTATGTTAAAATCGCAAAATTCAAAAATTAATAACTTTTAAAGGAGCAAGTAAAAAAATTTGAAATAATTCATGACGATTTAGAATGTTATTAAGAATGTTAAATTAAAAATTCACGACGATCTCATTGATTGTAATATATCTCCAATACATCCTTAAAGATTTCGTTTCTCAAGAGGTCAGTCTTGTTTGGTATCTCGTGCAGCCCTAGATAGGAACAAAAAGATAACGCTGACTTTGAATATTTGCTTTACACGAAGCTTTCGGCTTTCGCGACTTTTTTGTTTGACGAGAGAGAAATTCGTGCGCTTTCTCTCCGAACAGCACAAACCATTGTTGTTTCATTGCAGCAATATTGCTGCAATATTTCAGCAATGTAACAGCAATATTGCTGCAATGTAACAACAACGATTTGTGCTGTATGGGTCGTTTCTATAAATAATACAGCGAGAAAGAATCGTTGCTCGCGAAGAAGGAAACGCACGAGCGGAGATGCGAAAGGCGCACGGTATTTAAATTCAAGCGGGGCAGAACGGCGTACAAACAAGGCGTGCGGCGATAAATATTCAACGATTCCCTTCGGGAAGTTACGTCAACCCACCTACGGGTCTGCGCTCGCGCGCTACTTCTCGTCTTGCCGGACGTTGCGACCGTCACGAAAGAGAGCGCATTTAATGGAAAGCAAATCCGCACGTACACGAGAAGGGAATCTTGATTTCGCCAGCCTTGGTATCGCTAAGATTGCACGAGATGCCAAGACTAGTCTCGAGATATCGTCCTGTCTTGTCTTGCCTCGAAATTCGAGGCAAGATCAAGATGAGATTTTTAATTAGATTTTAATTAGTCAAGATAATATCAAGATTAAGATCGTCAAAATTGCCAAAATTATGATGTAAAAAAAATGTCCTCAAAATTATTAAGGTAAACAAAATCTTCGCAAAATTATTGATGTAAAAAAAAGCTAAAATGTATGTAAATTAGATGAGAAAAATATTATTATATTATATGTGAATCTAAGTAGTTTGATTTAATAAATTAAAATACATTAAAATTAAAAGTACAAATAAATTAAAATAAATTAATTAGAATAAATTAAAATATATAAATATTACACTAATAAATTCAGAAATAAAAAAATAAACATAATAAATATTATAAAATTTTACATAATTATTTAACAATATGAAAAATTAACCTTCTTATTTTCTTTAAAGAATATTAGAAATTAATCTTTTTGACGTACATATTTTTATTAATGTTTAAACAGTATTTTTAAATTTTAAATATTTAGTTCTTTTTATTCAATACAAGCGTATAGTATATTGAACAATATTATATGTTGCTTCCATGCAATTGTTTGAAATGAAAAAAATTGATCTAGCTTTATTCGATGTAATAGAATATTTTCGCGATACTGAATCTAATTTTATTAGAAAACAACTAAAAAGTA